CCCCCCCCCCCCCCCCCCAAGTGAGACAAGGCTGATGCATCCCTCGGAGGGAAGGCTGCCTGGAGTGGCTATGGCACGTAGTGTCAAGCCCAAAATTGACCTATGTGAATTTTGGATTCTGGTATTTTCAGGGGGAAAGTTACAATATTTAATTTATTGGAAAGGCTATCCAATTTCCCAAGCGACTTGGGTAAATAGCTGGAAAGTAAAGGCTGATCGATTGGTGGGGAAATTCCATGAAATAATATCCACACAAGGCCAAGCCGAATTCTGCGGGTGGCAAAGGAGAAGGTTAAAATGTGCATTGTATGATTGTGTTTAACCTAATTTCAATCTTTAGTGTATTTTATGTCGTTGCAGGGGTTTCTTTTCAAATGAGGGAGGGCAGCCTGTCAAGCCCGAAATTGACATATGGGTAGTCATTTTAGTTCAGCTTAGAATATATTCTAAGCACGTAGGTCTCCTCTGCACTCTAAAGGTGCTTTTTTTTTTTTTTCAAGAGGCAACTGGACTTTCTGGTTTTTCTTTGAAAAGGTTTCGCTTCCTGTCCAAGAAGCATCTTCAGCTCCGACTATGGTGGGGGAAAGGAAGGATTTTGCAGACAGCTGCTCATTTGGGGAAACAAAACCACCGCTTCATAAACACAGGGCTCAACATCGGAGAACAAACCCATCAGGCCTAGATTCATCAGCCCACCTGCACTGAAAAGATAAATCCTTCCCTTCCCCACCATCATCCAGTCAGAGCGGAAGAAGCTTCTTGGATGAGAAGCAAAATGTCTTCGAAGAAAAACCAGAAAAGTCCAGATGGCCAGAATATTCATGAACTGGCAGAGACATGGTTAACAAGGTTAGTCAACGGGAGTTGAATTGGAGGCAGAGACTGGAACCGGAGTGGTTTATCTCTGCTTTTTGCTCAGCTCTGGAGGAATGAAACTTTATCTCAGTTGTTTAAGGTGAAACTACTCTCTGCTCTGAGTTCTGAAGCTGCTACTTGTGTTTTTGCTTGTAACTTTACCGCCTGGAAGAATCTACTATTGGTATTGTAAACTTCACTTCATGTGTTATTATGTATATAAAGAAGTTAATGAATCCTGCTGAATCAGTCATCTGGGCGTTTTCCGGATTTGAATTTCCGCTGCAAAACCTGACACGGTTGCCTCTCGAAAAAGGAAGCACCTTTAAGGACAACCACAACCTGGAGGACTGAGAATCTCCACGGACACCTCCTCTGCGCTTCGAAGGGAGGAAGGGCAGGAGAAAGACGCACCTCTTGCTTAGATTCCTGAGCCACAAATTTGGCCAGCGCCAGTTTTTCCATGGTGGCGTCAGTCAGGATACTGGGGTACGGTGGCTCACGGCAGCCTTTGATCATGGCGGACTTCAGACAGGTCAGGAAGAACCTTCGAGGAGAGGGGAATTAGGGGACCCGTGACAAACTACCACAGGAGGGGGGCTGGATCGAGCACAGGGTTTAGATGAATTGATTGCATTAACTGGAGGGGGGGGGAGACATCCAATTATGAAAATTATTCCCCCCTACAAAGAACAACACTACTTATTGTTGGGGTGGGGGGTTATTATTTTATTATTGTTCTTTTTATTTATTTTTTTAATTTTTTTGTATAGTGTTTTTATATCCTTGTAAGTCGAGTAGGTGGCTATATAAAATTTTCTCAATAAATAGCAATAGCACTTAGACTTATATACCGCTTCACAGTGCTTTACGCCCATCTCTCTAAGCAGTTTACAGAGTCAGCCTCTTGCCCCCAACAATCTGGGTCCTCATTTTACCCACCTCGGAAGGATGGAAGGCTGAGTCAACCTGGAGCCAATGAGAATTGAACTGCTGGCAGTGAGCAGTTAGCCTGAAATACTGCATTCTAATAACTGCGCCACCATGGCTCTTGTAGCAATAGCACTTAAATTTATATTACCACTTCACAGTGCTTCGCAGCCCTCTCTAAGTGGTTTACAGAGTCGGCCTTTTGCCCCCAAACAATCTGGGTCCTCCTTTTAACCACCTCAGCAGGACGGTAGGCTGAGTCAACCTTGAGCCTGGTGAGATTTGAACTGCCAAATTACAGGCAGCTGGCAGTCAGCAGAAGTAGCCTGCAGTACTGCCCTCTAACCACGGCGCCACCTCGGCATACAAGTCAGCCTTCTCTGGGCAGCATCCTTCTCCATCCCAGCAGCTGTTACCAAGGGAGACGAAGCCCACCCACAGCCCTTACTCAGTCAGGGTAGCGTCCGCCGTGTCCAGCAGGAACTGCTTCCGACGGTTGGTGCAGACCAAAGTAACCGTTTGCTGATCCAGACCCACCTGCCGGGGAAAGCAAAGGCCATTTGGAGGGGACCGTAACCCCTTGGCCTCTGGAAGGGGAAGGCTCAGCCCCTGCCAAGATAGGGGCGAGCCTCCCCACCTTCCCGCCCGGGCCTGGGAATTTAAGGCCGCTGGCCTTGCCCGGGGAAGAAGCCTTCCAAAGGGATGCCCCCCCCCCCTGTGCCCGCAGAGCCCACTCACCCACCCAGCAGTCCTCCGCAACTCACAGAGATGTAGTCCAGCTCATTATAAGACACAGCCTCCTCCACCAAGTAGGGCTTCTCAGCGGCTCCTGGCGATGGGGAAAGCAAGGCGCAGAGTCAGTTGCACAGCCAGGGGCCCAGGCCTTGCCCCAAGGGGGTTCTTCCGTTCTGGGCGAGGCTCAAGGCGGTGCTCGGAGGCAGGCAGCGATCGAGGGGGCCTTCCACGGGGGGTGGGTGGGTTACCTTTTCGGATGAGGTACATGTAACAGTCGGTCAGCAGCAGGTAAAGGAGCTGGAGGTTCCCTTCCATGTGCCCTGTGCTCATCCGGATCATCTGTTGGGGAGAGAGGCCGCCGCTACTACTCCGTGACTTCCCGCGTCCGCAGCAGAGAGGCGAGAAGAGCGTCTCCTTAGATCTGAAGAGCTCTGGTTCCCTCCCGAAGCCGCTAACCCTCCCCAGGAGCGTGGGGCGGAGGAGGGGGGGGGGAAAGGTGCTCACAAAGGGGCTCCCTTCTGGGCACGTAGACCTACCCGGAAGAGTTGCTCCTCGTTCTCGCGAAAGACGTGGATCATCAAGAGAAGCAAGTGATTGTTGTCTACCCTGCAGGGAGAAGAAGGCCCAGCTGAGGGTCAGGAGGGAGAGCCAGCCGGCCGGCCCCCCTGCCCTCCCCCATCGTGAGGGGGCTTTCTCCGAGGAAGAAGACATGGAACTGCAGGAATCGCCAGGAAGGAGAAAGCAGGGTCAATTTTGGACATCCCTTTACGTTCATGAAATGCAAGGAGGAATAAAGGAGAATATTGGTAGCTCAGGGTTGAAATCAGGGGGGTCCTTGGTGTTGCTGTCTAAGCTCAGTGGTTGTCTGGCAGAGGTTTCATTACCCAAAGTAGCAATAACCCTTAGACTTATATACCGCTTCACGGTGCTTTTACAGCCCTCTCTAAGCTGTTTCAGAGTCAGCGTCTTGCCCCCAACAATCTGGGTCCTTGTTTTACTGACCTCAGAAGGATGGAAGGCTGAGTCAACCTTGAGCCAGTCGGTCAGGATTAAACTGGTGGCAGTGGGCAGAGTTAGCCTGCAATACTGCATTGTAACCACAGGGAGGGAGGGAGGGAAGATAGCAATAGCTCTTAGACTTATATACCGCTTCACAGTGCTTTTTACAGCCCTGTCTAAGCAGGTTACAGAGTCAGCCTATTGTTACTCAAACGATCTGGGTCCTCATTTTACCGATCTCAGAAAGACGGGAGGCTGAGTCAACCTTGAGCCTGGTGAGACTCAAACGGCCCAATTGCAGCCAGCAGAAGTAGCCTGCAGGACGGCACTCTAACCAACCGCGCCACCACGGCTCATAAGCTACATCATCGGTATCAGACGGATACCGGTATCAGCACCGGTGATGTTCCCTGATTTGGGTAATGAAACGTCTGCAAGAAAACCACCGAGCTCAGAAAGCATCTCAAGACGAGGACTTGGCAAGTGATGGGTGAGGAAGACGGGAGGAGGAGGAGGAGGAGGGGGGAGCAGACAGGAGGGACTGTCCAAGGTAGGATTGCCCTGAAAAGCCTAACAGTTTCTCGACATACGCCGGTCGAGATGCCGCCACCATTAGTGCAGAGTCCCAACCTCTGCTGCCAACTGGATGCCAGGGGCAGGCTGTCAACCCTGAAGCTGACCTGGGGGAAGCCATCTTGGAACGTCAAGTGTTACCCCACCGGAGCGAAGGACGGGGGGTGGGGGAGTGGGATTAGAGATAGCTGGGGTTTTGCAGCCAAAATAAAACACTTTCTCGAGACTTTCTCCCGGGGGCCAAGGACGTCCTCACACACCTGGCCGAGAGGAGTGATGTCACCAGACCAGCGGACGCTGGCAGCGATTGGGCCACGGGACTGATTGTTTGGGAGTGGAGGGGAAAACTTCTTACTTTGAATTGGGTGAAAAAAAATCAAAGGGGCCCTTCGGAGTCGGTTTTTCGCCAGACAGGGGCCACGATATGATATTTCCAATAAGGCTGTTCTTTGAGGAATTCATCCGCCTCAGGGTTATTGCTGGCGTCGGATCTATTACTCGGTACCCGGACACAGGCTGCGATTCCCACCCCCCCCCGCTCACCTGGGAAGAGGGGTGGCTGAGCACCGCCACCTCTCAGTGGGAGGAACCAGCCCTTACCTGAACTCGGAGGGATGGGAAGCCTCCGACGGGCTGCCCTGCCCCTCCTCCACTCCAGAGTCCTCGGCGCTGCTCGGGGAAGGGCTCGCCCGATCCTCCTTCAGCCTGCTGAGGGCCGCCACACTGGCCGTCGCCACGGCTTCTCCCGGCGAGCCGGCTACGGCTGGCCCAGCAGCCTCCCCGCCTCCTCCTCCTTCTTCCGCTTGTCCAGGAGCTTCAGGGCCACCAGGAACATGTGGCGGTTCACCATGCCCTGCAGGGTCATGGTGGCCACCACCTGTTGCAGGAGCGTTTGGACTCTCGACGGTAAAGCGGTAGAAGTCCATGGGGGCCGGCAGACCCTGACCAAAGCCGCCAAGGGATGGCCCTTCCGAAGGGGGCTCCCCTGGCAAGCCGGTCCGAAAGGACTGGTCCGGGGGCTCCAGGGGGCGGCTCCACCCGTCCGTCGCTTCCAGCGAGTCGATCACCTTGCTGAGGGCCTGCCCCACCCGCTCCATGGCCGTGTCCTTCATTTCGGGGATCTGGAGCCCCAGTTGGCAGAGGGCTGGCGCCTCAGTGCTGACCGCAAGGCCGGACTCTGGGGTGGTCCACGGCCGCCCGGCCTCCTTGCCCACAGCCTGGTCCCCAGCGGGAGCAGGGAGGGAGGGGACAGCGGCCTCTTCCGCCTTCACTTTCTTCTTCTTGCTTGTTTTCTTCTTTTTAGCCAGCCTGTCAAGAGAGGACAAGGGGGGCAAGTGGCGCAGCAGGGAACAGCTGTAAGCCGGGCAGCTGGCAGGCTTGCTTGGGGCTCAAGGACAGGTGGACGTCTGGCCCCACTCAGGGGTCTCGAGCTGGATGGGGTCCGGGAGGCCAATGAGCCCAGACTTCTTGCAACTTCAATGGCAGGCTGTTCTGAGCCAGCTCCCCAAATACAACAAACCCCCTGACACGAACTCAAAAAGATTCCTTTTATTAGGAGTGCCAGCAGCTCCGCAAAAAGTTTCTCTTGCAGGCTTACAAGTCTGTCTGGCTGGAAGATGAATACTTGTCTGCACACTTATTCATCTCTGCCCCCTGCTTTTTTATTCCCAGAGCTAGGGTGGGGCTTCGCTAGTGGCGGTAGCTATTCCTTCCCAAGGACCGGCTCATAGATTTCCACTGCTCTCCTCTCCTCTGCCTTCTGCACATCCACAGTCAGGTACTGGACCCAGCTGTTCCTCCTCTTCCTCAGCAGCCACCTCCAGACCTGGGGGCTGTGGACTCTCTATCTGAGGGCTGACGGATGACCCAGGCTGTGTCTCTCTCTCTCTCTTTCTCTCTCTCTCTTTGCCAGCTCCATTCCCTCTTCCCCCTCAGAGCTCCCAGGTTGCCCTGATGCTGATCCTGACTGCCACGCCTCCTCCTCCTCCTCCTCCTCCTCCTATTTGGCTCTTAGAGGGGCCGGTGGCCGAAAGGCCACAACACAGGCAAGCTGCTTTGGCCACTGGGAAGCAAAGGAGGGCTCCCCGATGCCCAGATGCAGGGAAACAATTCCTGGCACATCTCCCACAGCAGAGGGGAGTGGTCCACAAGAGCCCCAGGCAGAAGCAAGAGACAGACGGGGCCAAGCAATCGGGGAAGGTTTCCTTCCTTCCCTGCACCAACCTGATGACCTCCAGCTCCGTGCAGCTCTCAGACTGATCGGTGCCTTCGGGCACGAGGTCGGCCTTTAGTGAGGCAGCGTGCACTGGGGTGCTCTCGGCAGACGATGGCCCTTCCGCCTTCCCGTCGAAAGGGTTGTAGCGCTGGGTGGGGCTCTTGGCTGAAGCGCGGCTGCTGTTCACCTCGGAGGCCACGGAACGTGGGCAGCTGAGCGTATCGGTCAGGTCTCCTTCTGGAAGGAAGGAAGGGAGGGAGGGAGGAAAGAAGGGAGGGAGGGAGGGAGGGGAATGAATGAATAAAAGAGGGAGAGAGGAAAGGAAGGGATAGGATGGATGGATGGATGGATGGATGGAAGGAAGGAGAGAGAGGGAGGGAAGGAAGGAAAGAAAGGAAGGAGAATGGAGGGAGGGAAGGATTTGATGGATGGGTGGGAGGAAGGAAGGAAGGGATATGATGGATGGATGGAAGGAAGGAAAGAGAGAAGGAAAGAAAGCAGGGAGGGAGGGAAGGAAGTCAGCTGTCTCTCCCTGTTCCCAAGAGCAGCAGTGTCCCCCTTCAGAAGATGTGCTGCACATGCAACTCTTTGGCACACTTTGCTCAAGAAATTCAAGGATTCTCACAGCTGGCAGAGGAGAAGGAAGACCAGTTCCTTCAGGTCCTCACAGAATTCCGACCCCTACAATCCTTGCAGCCTGCACAGAGCTGCAACTTAACAGCTACTGGGCTGGGAATTCTACCCTGGCTTCACACACTGTGACATCTTGGCACTTTGTTCCACAGGCTGTGCCCGAAGAAGAGGACGACATCCTCCCCACCCGGACCCATTGGGGGAGGGGGGCGCTCCTGATCTCTGTTGAACCCCAGAGCCCCTGATGTAGCCCTGCAGACAAGCAGCAGGTCGCCCACCTCCGGAGCAGCCCCTTTCGGCTGCATGGAGACTGGGAAACGGGCGGTGGTGCATCTTGGTCACTTTTACAAGTGGGGAAGCATCTGGGGTGGCGGGGGGAGGGGGGGAGAGTCAAGAGGCAGGCTGAGCTAATTCTTCAATTATTCCATTACAAAATGTCTCTCTCTCCAACCAGGAAGCCTGCCTTCAACCAGGAATTGCAGGAGACGGCACAACCACTTTAAGTCTCCATGGAGATTTTCAGTCATCCAAGTTCATGGTTGTCCCAAAGCAGAGCGGAAGGAGCGAAAGCGAGACGTCTTCAAAGAAAAACCAGCAAGTCCAGTTGTCTCCTGAAAAAGCAGCTTTGGGACAACCACGACCTGCACGACGGAGAATCTCCATAGACCTTTTGCTCTGCACTTTGGGATCAATGCCCTCCGAATGGGGTGGGGGGGTAGGAACGGATTTCCAGAAGAATAATTGCAGACTACAGGAACCACTTGCACCACTCAGGGGATTCCTGAGGACGCAGATAAACCTCCAAGTGGCCTCGTCGCCTCTCTAAAAGGATGCAAACGATCAGCTATCTGCAAGGAACGTAAATCTTTCCCTTCCCCACCATCCAGTCAGAGCTGAAGAAGCTTTTTGGGTGAGAAGCAAAACATCTTCAAAGACTGAATAGAAGAAAGCCGAGTGGCCTCTTGAGGGAAAAAAAGGACCTTTGGGACAACTAGTTTCACTTACCCCCGCTTTCATTTGCTGGCCGCTCTCCAAGTTTCCCTTTGCAGGCGGAGGGAGCAGGACAGCGGTGGGTTTCAAATTTTTTTTACCACCGGTTCTGTGGGTGTGGCTTGGTTGGCACCCTTTGCGCATGTATGCGCAGTGGGTTTGCTACTGACTTTCTCCTGCAATCCTGCACTGTGTCTTCAACAGCTGGCGCGAAGCTGCTGAGCTTCAAAACCAGGAAATAAAGGTCAGTATAGAGCTGGGGTGGGAGGGGGGGGGGCAGCAGCTGATCGTCAGAGTGAACCGGTTCGCTCACAGATGATCGTCGAAGCCACCAGTTTGCTCACAGATGATCGTCGGAGTTACCACTCACAGATGATTATCGGAGCTACCGGTTCGATAGAACCGACCCGAACCAGTACAATACCACCACTGGAGCAGGAACTTATTTTAACAGTGAAAGGAGCAGCAGACAGAGTTAGAAGCCCAGAGGCCCCACCCCCCACCCCCCATCTTAAGGGGCATGGCAGGGCAAGAGCTGAGGGAGGTAAGGACAGAGAAAGGGCTGCAGCAGCTGCCACCATCACTAGCACGACCCTGCTTGGAAAGAGAAGCTGCTGGCAGAAGCATCGGTGGCCACAAAATCAGGTGGCTTAATGTCCGTTGCCTGATAACATCTCCCCCCCCCCCCCCCATGCACTGATAGGAGAGAGAAAGAGGTTAGGAGGAGACTGCTGGCACCAACACAGAAGCGCTCCTCGGAAGCTTGTTAATGTGCAAACCAGAAAGACTGATGCTTCATGCTGGGAGATGGAAGCCACAGAAGTACAGGAGGTGGTTAGGCACCCAGAAGGGCCCGGAGAACAGCTTAGGCTGTGGAAGTGGGCAGCAGATGCCCCGGGTTCAGGAGCCCATTTAAGCTGGCAAGAGCCTGCCACCGAAACGCCTGGTGGTCTGGCTGCTGGGCCCCTCAGGCACCGGGCCGGTGTTAAGAGACCTGTGGCCCAGCATGCAGGAAGCTCTGGGGCAGAGAGGGCGGGGGGCGGGAAAGGAGGAGGGGGGCTGGAAAACCAGGCGAGCTGGTCCCACCTTCCCATGCTGTGGTAGGCATGGACGGCACTGCAGGAAAGACTTCTCCAAAATCATAATCTATAAAACGAGGGATAAAAAGGAGGGTTAGAAATGAAAGGGATCTGGAGGGAAGGAGGGTGGGTGGAACGGAGACACGGAATACCCTCTCGGAGATCATGATCGATGGGGAAAGGTGGGGAGGGGGGAAATGGAGCAGGACAAGGGCAGGGCAGGGACCCTTTCTCAGCTCAGGCTGCAGGCAGGGGTGGCCTTCAAAAATTTCAGCAACGGGTTTTCTCTGCCCGGTTGCTGGGTAGGCATGGCCTCCTGCACCAAGTTGGGGGGGGGGATGTTTTCATCCTCCCCAGACTCCTGAGGCTTTCCTCGAGCCTCTGGGAGGGCAAAAACGGCCTCCCCCCCCCCGGGATCCGGAGGCTCTCCAGAGGCCGGAAACGGGCCTGTTTGGGAGGCCCATTTTTCGCCCTCCCTGAGGGGAGGGATGGGCGGGACCAGCCAGGGGTGGGATTTATGGGTCTGCCGAACTCTGCAGGCTCTTAGGATCGCCCGAACCCGTGCAAACTTGTAGCAGCCCACCGCTGGCTGGGCTCAGTTCTGGATCCTTGCTGAGGGACCCCGTTATCTTGGAAGTTGTTTTGTTTTTTTAAAAAACCCAGGGACTTATCAGGAAGGTGCCAGCCTGCCACAGGGCCTTCCTCTTTTATGGCTGTGCTGGCTTTCCGTTTACGGGGATTCCTTTTGAGAAGCGGTGTCAGCGTCAGACTGCGGCCGGGGAAGGGAAGGGCCAATCCAGGCCGAGCGGCCCTCGAGGACAATCAAAAAATCCCGCTGAGGGTATGGAACAAGGGAGGCAAGATCTGCAATGGGGCAGCCCAGGTGCATCTCCAAATACTGGCCCACCACACAGGTGTCGGAGGGCTGCTCAGCACCCCCAGGCCTTGCCCCAGGTTCCCTGAAGGGCGTTGGAGAGGCTGCGGACGGGAGTTTGAGGCTTGACGGGGCGCTCCACCGGCCAATGAAGAACTGCCCCTCGGCTCCACCCAGACCCTCCGTTCCTTTAGCCTTGCCCACAGGCAGGCAGGGTAGCCTGATCAGAACCCCCAGCCCCAGGCGGCGCCCTGTGGAGTCAGGACGTTCGTATGCCATCCTGTGCCTCCTGCCCACGGCCCCCCACCCTGGCCCCTTACCCTCGCTGGAGGGGGCGATGGCACTGTCATCCCACTCCAGGTTGGTGGACGTCACCGAGTTGAAGGAGTTGAGGGAGAGGCTGTCTGACCCGTGGACGGAGCTGGGCAGGCGGTCCTCGAAGTCCAGCAGGTACTGGGGCTTGTAGTAATCTGGCATGTAGGGGGCCAAGTCCAGGTAAGGGGCGTCCTGGAAAAGCAGGAGGGGTTGAGGTGGAACTGCTGCTCGCCCACCCAGCAATCCCTTTCCCCACCGTTCTTTTGCTTCAGGAGTTTTGACCGTCGGTTGGGAAAAATTAGGAAAAAAAAAAAAAGCTGCTGCCTTTGGACATAAGTGGGAAATCCACCAGAAGGGCCGGCAGGTGGGCGTGGGATGTGCCCCAGCCCAATGGGAGGAGGAAGTGGGAAGGCTGGCTGCTCCAGGAGGCCAGAGTCTCCTCACCAAGTCCAGGTCAAATCGAATAAACTCCAGGCCGGCCACCAAGGTGAGGAAGAGTGTCAGGTGGTCGTGGCTGCAGACCAGGGCATTTCTGTGGGATGGAAAAGCCGGAGCTCAGGATTCACCCGGGGCCTTCCTGGCGAAGGCAGCAACCCGGAATGGCTCCTCCCAAACTGTTGCCTCACTGCTGGGAAGAGGCCGGCCCCTTTGACGGGTGCCTGGTCCAGAGGGACCTTCCCCCCACTCATACCCTGGAGGCAGGAGCTGTTGCACCGAGCTGCAGCCTTCGGAACTAACTGCTGCCTTTGGACTCCTTGCAGCGTGAGGAATGCCCCAACAGTGCAATTTGGGAAGAGGCAACCGAGAGGGAGGGAGAGAAAGAGACAGAGGGAGGAAAAGAGAGAGAGGGAGAGAGGGAGGGGGAGAGGGAGAGAAAGAGAGGGAGAGGAAGAGAGGGAGGGAGGGAGGGAAGGAGAGAAAGAGAGCTAGAGAGAGAGGGAGGGAGAGAAAGAGACAGAGGGAGGAAAAGAGAGAGAGGGAGGGGGAGAGAGGGAGGGAGAGAGACAGGCTGAGAAAGAGAGAGGAGGGAGGGAAAAAAGAGAGGGAGACAGGGAGAGAGAGAGTGAGAGAAAGAGAGGGAGGGAGGGAGGGAGGGAAGGAGAGAAAGAGAGCTAGAGAGGGAGAGGGAGATGGAGGGAGAAAGAGATGGAGGGAGAGAGAGAAAGGGAGAGGGAGAGGGAGGGAGAGAAAGAGACAGTGGGAGGAAAAGAGAGAGAGGGAGAGAGGGAGGGGGAGAGATGGAAGGAGAAAGAGATGGAGGGAGAGAGAGAAAGGGAGAGGGAGGGAGAGAAAGAGACAGGGCGAGAAAGAGAGAGGAGGGAAAAAAGAGAGGGAGAGAAGGAGGGAGAGAGACAGAGAGGGAGAGGGCGGGGGAGACAGAGAAAGAGAGCTAGAGAGAGAGGGAGAGGGAGGGAGGGAGATCCTTTCCCTCCCCCTCCACTTCCCACGGGGCCAGCCCAGCTGACTCACCTGACATAATGCTTCTGCAGCAGCGGCAGGTTCTCCTGGAAGAGGCGGAGGTAGCTCTCCAGAGAGTTCTCGTTCAGGGCCAGGTACAGCCATGCTCGGCCTGCGAGAGGGAGAGATGGCCTTGCAGAACCTGCTGGCTGTCAGGGACCCACCCAAAGGAAGGCTGCCCTGACGCCCAAGGCCCCAGGTAGTCGGAGGGGCCTCGCAACCCCCTCGGGGGCCAGGCTGATTCTCCTGGGGGCTTGTCCAGCTATCAGCCCAAAGCAGGGAGCCATCGACTGTTTCCATGAAAATAAGCCCCAACTGGAAAATAAGCCCTAAGCATGATTTTCCAGGATGCTCATAATATAAGCCCTGTCCCGAAAATAAGGCCCAGTTAAGATTGTCAGCCAGATGGATGCATTTGGGACCTTATTTCTCCAAAATTAAGACCTGACCAGAAAATAAGCCCCAATCTTTTGGAGCAACAATTAATATAAGACCTGGTCTTATTTTGGGGGGGGGAAACACAGTAGCTCCCAGCCTTCTCACTGGAAGGACTGGGAGCTCAGAAACCTCACTAAGAAGCAAGTCGCAGATCCTCAGGGCCAATACCCCATGGGTCCTGGTGCCCTCCGGTGACATGGGCTGCCCAAACCGGGCTGGCCAAAGCTGCATGGTTGAGACTTACTGCGCCCCAAATTGGTGGTCACGTGCTCCAGCAGTTCAATCTGTTCAATGGCCTCTCGGCGGGTAAAGTGGACCACCAAGACCCAGTAGCCCGAAGGAAGGTCTTGCAGCCTGTCGAAGAGAAGGAAAATGGCGGAGCGGGTTCCTTCAGAGCAAAAGCTGCCTACCCAACCACCCCCTCCCCCCTTGCAGGCTCCCCAGCACGACACCTCCAGGCCCCTCGTCCAGCTCATGAAGAGTCTGCCTCTGCAGCCTGGGGAGGGGGAGGGAAGGAGGAAGGGCACGCTTCCTGCCCCATCCCTGTTCACAAGTGGGCCCAACTGTGCCATACAAGGGGACCCCATCAGGCTCTCTTCTCATGGGCCGCTGCTTCTAGGCACCCCGCAAGGGCAGCACTGTAGGAAAGAGCCAGCTGCTGGCCTAAAGGGAGGGAGGGGAGAAAGGGCCCGAATCTGAGCCCCTGCCATGGCTTCCTCCAGGGGGCAGACTCGGACAGGGAGGAGGTTGGGGAGGAACCTGGGCCTGTCCTGGAGTCTGGGGAAGGCTCTGACGAGGGCTCTGTGTTGGAGGCAGAGATGGGGCCAGGGCCGTCCGACAGTTATCAGCTGCCTTCGGAGTTGGACAAGAGTGGGGCAGAAGAACAGCTGGAGCCTGTTCCCAGTGTGCACATGCACAGAGCTGCCAGGAGAAGGGAAGTTAAGGAACAAGGGTCGACTCGGGAGTAAAGGCACAGGTGGACGATGAATGACCCCTCCCATAGGGAATAAAAGAGGAGTGAAAGGGGAGTGGAGTTTGCAGGAGACAATTAGTTCCATTCATTAGGGTCAAGATTTGTCCCTGACTTCTTGTCTGCTACAGAATGGCGTTTGGAAGATATCAGCCTGGCAACTCTCCCAGCCTGATAAAGGTCTGCTTAATTGTGAAATCTCATGAACGATGGTTTGCTGGAACTTTGCTGGAGAGGAATTCCCTTTAACCTAAATAAAAGGGGCTTTATCAGGACAAGGGGTCTGCTTCATGATCTTGGGAACAAGCGAGCCCCACGCCGAGGCCCCTTACCCGTAAAGCAAGGCGTGGTCCAGGTGTTCGCAGAGACGCTGCAGGACCGTGTCGTGGTTCCTGATGGCGGGGGTCTCGTCCTCGCAGGCGGCAAAGTAGCTCTGCAGCTGGAGAGATGAGCACATCCGGTGAGGGAGCCACCAACCACACACTGCCTGGCTGCGATCTACGCAACCCCCACTTTTCAGGGTTTTTAGGAGTGATCAGCTGAAAAAGTCGTTTCCCGTCGCCTCTCTGCTTAGGGTTGTTTAAGAGAAGTCCGCCTACCTTCGGTTCTGGCTGCAAGGCCCAATAAAAGGCCTAGTTCACCTCGGCCAAAGCAGAACCGATGCCCACGGGATGCTACAGGTAGTCCTCGACTTACAACAGTTCATTTAGTGACCATTCAAAGTTACAACGGCACTGGAAAAAGTAACTTACGACCGGGTTTTCACACTGATGACCGTTGTAGCATCCCCACGGTCATGAGATTAAAATCCAGATGCTTGGCAACTGACTCATATTTATGACAGTCGTAGTGTCCCCAGGTCACAGGATCTCCTTCTGACAAGCAACGGGGAAGCCAGATTCGCTTAACAACAGTTTGACTAATTTAACAACTTAATAACTGTGGCAAAAAAAGGGGGAGAAAAATCACTTAACAAATGTTTCATTTAGCAACGGACATTTTGGGCTCCGTTGTGGTCATAAATCGAGGAGTCCCTGTGATTTTGTGCCAGCGCATGTAATGGAACAACTCTCTCAAAAGCCACGGCGGGTTTTTGTCCTAAAATGCAGGGGGTACAAGCAAGTAGGATTTCTATGGGTCAGGATTGGGAGGAATGGCAGCGAAACAGTCGAAGGGCTGAATGAACCGACAGGGCTGGGCCTCCGCTTCTTCTGAAGACCGGCTGCGTTTGTCTCTTAACCTCGATTCTGATCTCTTGCAGGCACCTGAAGCGGCTCCTGGATGGAAAGCAGAGACGCTTTCCGCTTCCAGCCATCCCTGGGCAGGTGGGCTTGGGGAGGCGTGGACATTTTGGGAGGGGGGTAGCAAGAAGTGAAGTGCATTTCAGAACGAGGGTGGCTTTTCTGGAAGAAAAGCAGGACCGTGTCGTCTTTTCACTTTAAGGCTGGTCTTCTAAATGGATTGGAAGAAGGAGAAGTCACCGATTTCGAGAATGGGAACGGAGCCTCCAATCCTGCTTAGATTAGTCATCTGCTGCTGCACTGGGTGCATTTTCTCTGGCCAGAACAAGAGAAAGTCGGGCCCACTTTCCAAAGCCCTGACTATTAGGTACACAGCCAACCCCGTGAAAGCAACAGCAACAGCACTTAAGACTTAGGTAGCACTGCACAGCGCTTCACAACCCTCTCTAAGCAGTTTTACAGAGTCAGCCTCTTGCCCCCAACAATCTGGGTCCTTGTTTTACCGACCTGGGAAGGATGGAAGGCTGAATTGTCCTTGAACTGGTCAGGATCGAACTGATGGCAGTGGGCAGAGTTAGCCTGCAATACCACATTCTAACCACTGGGAGGGAGGAAGCAATAGCCCTTAGACTTATATACCGCTTCACAGGGCTTCACAACCCTCTCTAAGAGGTTTCACAGAGTCAGCCTCTTGCCCACGACAATCTGGGTCTTCATTTTACCGACCTCGGGAGGATGGAAGCCTGAATCAACCTTGACTCAATCAGGATCGAACTGCCGAATTGCTGGCAGCCGGCAGTCAGCAGAAGTAGCCTGCAGTACTGCACTCTAACCACTGCACCACCGTGTCAGATTCAGATCCATCTTAGCATCAGCAGAACCGGCTCTAGGACCAACGACTCAGTGGCTGCCCAAGGATAAGGCTGCACGACAGACTGACCCCACAACTAGGAAAGGAAGGAGAAACCCCCAAAGCCAAGCCCGGCTCATTAGCCTCCCCAGCAAAAAAAAGACCCGCTTGAGGAGACGAGGAAGAGAACGCACAACTCACTGACCCTACGCAACGCCACTTTCGGAGCAGGTAAACATTGCTTGCAGAAGTGCAAGCGCCCACCCTGAAGAGGAGACCTCTCCTCCTGCTCAGCCAGGATAGGGGAATCTTGAGGGCCCTCCTGAGGTTGTCCATAAGGACCCCCCTGCTTGGATGCTGCTGCCTCCAGACAGCTCCTCCTCCTTCCAGCTGAACTCCACCTTGCTCAGGGGAACAAGGAGAGCTGCTTCCCAGGGCCACGATTCCCAGCCACACCTTTATATGTCTTGGCTGGGCCCGAGAGGGAGCGGCAGCCAAGCCTGATGGTGCCTCAGCTCCGGAGAGAATCACAGGGGTGCCCGGGGGGCAGAAGAGCAGACGGGTTCTCCAAAAGAAGGCACACCTCAAATGGCACTGGCACAAAGGGCTCAGCCACCCACATCACCCTCTAGCTGCTGGGGGAGGGGGGCGGACTCTGCTCCTGCCTGTCAAACAGCATCTCTGGGGCTGCAAGGCTGACAGGGCGAGAGAGGCAGCGCCTTCCGAGACAACAGCCCGGAAGCCAGGAGCGGCACACGTCTCCCGCTAGTCCTCGCAACAGAAAGCAATCCAGAGGTTGCAGAACTTAAACACGCAACGACGAACATCCTCTTCATTGAGGAAACTCCAGGAAGATCATCCGTTTGCTGCTATCTGTGGCTCTCGCCCATGTCTGACAGTGATTGTGTTGTTGTTAGTTGTGATGTCGTGTCCGACCCATTGCGACCCCCATAGACAACGTTCTTCCAGGCCTACCTCTGGAGTCCACTGAAGCTCACCCCAACTGTTTCAGTGACTCCGTCTAGCCACATCCTTCTCTGCCGTCCCCTTCTTCTTCTATTGCCCTCAATCGTTCCCAGCATTCGGCTCTTCTCCAGGGAGTCCTTCCTTCTCATGAGGTGGCCAAAGTCTTTTGAGTTTCCTCTTCAGGATCTGGCCTTCTCAAAAGCAGACAGGGTTGATCTCCTCTAGGACTGACCGGTTGGATGGCCTCGCCGTCCAAGGGACTCGCAGGAGTCTTCTCCAGCACTATAGTTCAAAGGCCTCCACTCTTTGGCGCTCAGCCTTCCTTCTGATCCAACAACTCGGTGGATGCCCAAGGATAAGGATGCACAACAGGCCGGCCCCACAACCAGCAATAAAAGTGTCTTACCAGGCATCTCCCTGGTTCACCTTGGCTGACAGACTGGATTCTGGCCACCCGATTGAGGCTATCAGGAAAAGTGGCTTAGCAGACGAAGCCAGAGATCACTCACCCGCTCTACGAAGCCGGCTGTATGAAATCTCTTTATGAGGGGCAAAACAAACAGGCAAAGGCCCAAATTTATCTGCTATGGGACAAGCGCAGTTGGGAATGGGCTCCCAAGGGGGAGGGGAGGAGTCTAATTGGATTTTACGCCACAGAATACCCAGAGCCTCCCTTCTCCCTGTGATTTTGTGGGAACCCCCTTGCAGCGATTTGGCAGCTGGAGAAATGTGGGTTTATACCCCAGACAGAAGGACTGGAAAAGGTGGCAGAAGGGGGGTAGATTCTGCTACAGGGATTCCAGCATCGGCTGATTCTGCTGGTGGTCTCCTTACCATCCACTGACCACTGCTGGTCCAGGAAGAAGATAAAAATAAAGGTATCAGCCTAATATGTTATCTGTTCTGAGTTTTTACTTTTCAGAGGGTTTCCCCACCACCACCAATTTTACCTGCCGGTGGATTATTTCTTTCAGCCTTCTGCTACGATTGGTTTCGGTTGCCGAAGGGTCAAATTTATGCAATCGTTTCAAAACCTGCATCGTGAACTGCTAAGAGGAGGCTAAACACTGAACACATCAAATAAATGAACATAAATTAGCAGTAACCGCCGTTAATGCAGTCGGTCAAAGAAATCTATCCACTTGGGGAAACATGATTAGCTGCACTGCTGAAGCTGGATTGGGAGAAACACAACACAACCCATTTTTGGAGGGCTCCAGATGGGGGCAGACCTTGACTTACAACAGTTCACTTAGTGACCATTTGAAGTTACAACAGCCCTGAAAAAAGAGACCTATGACCATTTTTCACACTTATGACCGTTGCAGCATCCACAAGGTCACGTGATTTACATTCAGATGCTTGACAACCGGTTCATTTTTTATGACGGTCACAGTGTTCCTTGGATCACGTGATCATATTTTGCGACCTCCCAGCAAGCAAAGGTCAACGGGGAAATCCACTTAACAACCGCGCTACTAATTTCACAACCGCATCGATTCACTTAAACAAAGGCGGCAAAAAAAGTCGTAAAACGGGTCGAAGCTCACTTAATGCAATTCTCGCTCAGCAACATGGGGGCGTGTATAAGCGCACCAACGTGCCTACCATCCCTGTCCTATTGTTTCTCTTATTCTTTTATTTTTCTTATATGTACCCATTTCATGTATTCACAACTATGTATACATTTATACTTATTCTCTTGTAAACAATTGGCAAATCAAATAAATAAATAAATAAATAAATAAAACATAAATTCCAGGCTCCATCGTAGGGCACAAGTCGAGGACTGCCTGTAGTGTAACCTCAGAGGCGACACAGCAAAGCACAACCGTCTCTCCTGAACTTTTTGGTTAGTATTTATGCATGATGCAACGCAAAAGCACTCAGAAACCACTTCTCGCAGGGCCAGTCCTGGGAACTTATCATGCAACTATTTCAAACAGGGAATTTCAATGTGAAGAAAAGCCAAACCGGCTTAGTAGGTGATGCTTTCGCGAGCTTTTTAATTTCTTTCACCTGCTCTGCATAAAAATGACATTATAGACATTGCCTGGGTTTTCAGTGCACAAAGTAGCAGTTATGGACCCCTTCTTCATTTTTCCGAACGGGAGAGGGGAATCGACGGGGCATCCCCCGAAGGGGAAGGGAGGTTGCTGAGCTTAGGTAAGCCAGAGACCTCGCCACAGCCGGCCTGGCCGAAGCCGCAAAAGCCAAAAGGGAGAGAGAAGCCAGGGAAATGATGAACTGAGAAAGGGGGATGACATCAGCGCAGTCGCAATGAAGGATCCGGCGGTAAGAAAAGCAACTACAGCAATTACGAGAGCCTTAGTGATTAAGGCACCAGGCTAGAGAGCTGGGAGCTGCGAGTTCGAGTCCTCTGCCTTAGCCTGGAAAGACGCCTGGGTGCCTCTCCTTCTGGCCCGACTGACCACACAGGATTGTTGTGGTGGTGATGGTAGTAGTGAGAAGAGGAGGCAGCGGCGGGAGGAGGAGGAAGGTGTGTGTTAGATAGGTTGGCCACCTTGAAGAGATAAAGATGGATAAAGATGATGATGATGATGATAACCTCCCTACGACAATAATAAAAAACTCACTGTGATGATAATGATGTAATGACAATAAGCTCCCTGTGATGATGATAATAATAACCTCCCTGTG